AGAGGGAGGGAGAGGGAGAGGGAGAGGGGGAGAGAGAGAAAGAGAGAGATGGAGCCTGGGTCATCCGTCGTCACCCCTCAGATGGAGATTCAACAGCCCCCAGGTCTGGAGGTGGCTGATGAGGAAGAGGAGGAACAGCTGGGTCCAGTGCCTGATGCACGGCTGCACAGAAGGCAGAGGAGAGGAGAGCAGTGGAAATCTATGGGCCGGTCCTTGGGAAGGAAGAGCCACTGTTGCTAGCGAAACCCCACCCTAGCTCTAGGGATAAAGGGCAGGGGGCGGATATGTATAGATGTGGCAGACAACTATTCATCTCCCGGCCAGACGGACTTGTTAGCCTCCAGTGAGAGAATATTTTTTTTGCCTGGCGCTCCTAATAAAGGAATCTTTGAGTTAACTTCAGAGGTTTTGTCGTGTTTGGAGCGCTGGGTGAGAACAGTTCCATATTCCGCAGTTCAGTGTTTCTCAACCTTAACCCCTTGAAGAGGTGTGGACTTCAAATCCCAGAATTCCCCAGCCAGCTTGGCTAGCTGAGGAATTCTGGAAGCTGAAGTCCACACCTCTTCAAGTGGCCAAGATTGAGAAATGATGCCATACTTGAACCCGCTCATTCCTCTTGAATTCTGTCAAACAAAATTAATGGTACTATGGAAAGTTGGGAACTGAAGTCAGGCTCATGGTTTGAGATCTCAGACTAATATATTGGAACACACTAAGAAGAGGAATAATAAATCGAGGTCTATCCTTTGTTTCTTATTTATTTAGAGCTGTCCTTTATTACTTTTATAAATAACTCAAGGCAGATAACATACCTAATAGACCTTCCTTCTCCTAGTTTTCTTACAAAAGCAACACTGTGAGGTAGGTTGGACCAAGAGAGTGTGACTGGCCCAAAGTCACCCCAGTGTTTTGACCTGGCTCCCAAACATGACAAGCCCTTTGTCATTAACGAAACATCCCCTTTATTAGGAGTGATAGCAGCTGCTCTTTCACAGCAGGCTATAAAGTCTCTAAGTCCTGTAGAAAGTGACGCTCCCTCCCTTTCCCCCTGAACTGGCTCAACACACCAGGAGTCTCTCTCTCTTTTCCCACATTTGCAAAGGAAGATCTGGAAGGTACGCTTGCTTTCTCCCAGCAACGCACACACACACACACACACACACACACACACACACACTCAGAAGGTGCTGCAGATTCCAAGAAAAATTGTCAGCTGGTGCTCCGTTCAAAATCCAAGAAAGAAATACTTAGACTCTTGTAATTAGAGAAAAGATATCTTTTACTGGAAGTTAAGTGGTAGCAACAAGAAAATTCTGAATCTGGGGAAATAGGCACGTACATCACATATATCAAGGGAGTGAAATGTTCCCACCCCCAATAGTTCAAACGGTTCTTCCAATGAAAAGTTGTGAATTTCATCATGGGGACATCTCCAGGTGGTGATGATTAGTTGACCTTGGCTTTACTCAGATAAAGGTTTGCAGTTGCGCAGAGAAGAGAAAGCTAAGCAGGAATTAGAAACCCTCTCCACTTTATACAATATCAGTTAGTAACACTTTCAGCTCACGTCCCATACATTTCCCCCTTCCACCCCCCGTTACTCATGACAGCCAGAAAGAAGCAAAGGAAAGGAGGAAGATCTTGAAGGCTGACAAAAATTCTGATAATTTTCAGACAGATTAACAGATTAATAGATAATCAGAGTTGGAAGGGACCTTGTAGGTCATCTAGTCCCAAGCAAGAAACCCTACACCATTTCTGACAAAGGGCAGTCCAGTCTCTTCTTGAAAGCTTCCAGTGATGAAGCTCCGGCAACTTCTGTTCCATGGGTTGATTGTTCTCACTGTCACAAAATTTCTTCTTATTTCCATGTTGACTCTCTCCTTGATCAGTTATATAAAGATGCATTCTTTTCTTATTATATCTACAAAATGATTGTAGGGTAGATTTGAGGTGATAATATGAACTGTCATAAAACAAATTAAGTAAAATATGGATTATTTCGGAAAACATGAATGAATAAAAGTATAGTCAACTGATTGATTAACAATGATATTAATGTATTTAATATGT